TCAACCCTGTGTACAGAGGGGATAGGATTGATACTTAATGTGAAGACTCCTTCCTTCTCATTTGGTATTTTGAGCTACTAATTTCATACATATAGGTCAATTTCCTCAAATTGTAGCAATTTATACTTGTTTTCTTTATAAATTTTTTTTTTTTTTTTTAATCTTCCTCTAGTGGAGTTCTGATCATCAAGCCATCGAAGCTGGGTCAAATGTGTCCTATCTGCAAGTTTGGGTGTTCTTATGCATCTCCCCTCACTTCATATCAGCTGGATGCTTCACTTACAGCTCTAGCACTCCATGCCTATGTCCTTATCTATGGGCTCAGGACTTCCCAGGTTTCACCATACTATGAACCAACCAGCCCTTCCTCTTCTCCCTTTCATCTCCGGTTGACAGGATTCTATGGAACGTGATCACTCAGCCCATATTTTCATTACTGCCTTCCACTCACCAGTAGACCAACATGGTTGCCAGAAAGTTCACATGCCTGCTGATGTGTTCCCTTTGAGTTTCAGTCTTAGAGTAGCATTTGTCTTGAAGGACTTGATTTCTTGCCTTGATGGCTCCCCAGTGAATGATTTGCTTATTCTTGTAGTAGCCAATCAGACTGCCATTTTGTTTTTTATTTTTCCTGCTGGTCTTTCTTTCAAGAAGTATTTTCTGTTCCTCTAGCTGCTCCAGGCTGGTATGCTTGTCCTTTCAAGTGTGAATGTTCCACCTTAGATGGTTCTGGATGGGACCTTAGGATTCCACCTAAGGTCCCATACACTACAAAGGCTCCTCAAGAAGCCTATTTCACTGGGCAAGTTCTAGAACCCCTTTTAGGTATTCCAATGAGTTATAGGCTGAATATGGGCTTACAAGTTTTCTATAGTCATGTTTTCTGGTACTCTTTTCTATCCCACTCAAGTGTCTATTTTTTAATAGTAGGCCAGGGAAATCAATATCATAAGACAGTTAGTCATCTTAACATTATTTCTCCTCTTTTACCCATTCAGACTATGCACTGATCCCTGTATCACAAAGCCCTGTTATTCTAATGTTGAGCGTATATCACTCTTTACCTTTGTCCCATTTAGCCCATGCAAACTTGCCTAAGTGTTGTGATCCATTTTTCCACAATGGATGCCCTTGATATCAAGGCCTTCTATTTACTCTATGAAGGGGAGGTCTCCCACACAATGAGCAATTTGTTAGGTTCCCTTCTTTTCAAGGAATCCCACCAATGCTAACATCACACAGGATGAAGGGAATAGAGAACTGCTACAAAATTTTAGGACCAAATTAGTGTCTTGTGTGTCTATTAAAAATCGAGCAAACTTACTGGCCAAGTCCACTATGAGAGATATTGATGATGCATGCAAGAGCCATTGCAGTTCTTGGGCCCCATTAGTCCTCAGGTTTTTCAGTGTCTAAGAGTGTCTTGTGACTCCCGTGGCATTTCATAGGTAACAGTGGACAGTCATGTGCCCAGTGCCCAGACTTACTGCACTGAGGGCGTGGTATTTTAGGGACCAGTTGCTATTCCATTGGGATTCATCATTTCCTGAAATGGTTCCCAGGCTTTTGATAACTGAAGTAATTATTGTCCATTTTATTGCCTGTGTCAGAGGAGGTGATTTGGTTCTGAGCCACCAAGGCATCTACAACAAGCTTAACACTTGGGCAGCCCCTTTCTGTCACCTCTATATCCTGATTGTTGTAGACAGTGGTAGCTACTTATAGCAGTTGACTAGTTGATAAAAGCATTGTTTATTACTATGGTAGCCTCAGATGAACTGGGATCTAGATTAATATACCTCGCAACAGTCTCAACCAGGTCTCCTTTAAAGAGAGTTGGGCTTTCATCCTTCTCTTGAATTACTTCTGTTAATTTAGAAAAATTGATAGGCTTAATCAGAATCTGCTTCATTCTCCCAGGAAGCAGAGTATCACGTAGTTCCTAGTAGCTATTTCTGTTTGCACTGGATGATAATTTTACAAGGAATCTAGCTGTACTGGGTATTGCCACATTCCCAATGGGTAATATCTGTTGGAGAATTTGTAAATGATCTCCGTATGCTTGGGCAGCTACTGAGATATGATTTTTATCATCCACTATGTGCCTTGGTATGGCACTGTGGGTTAATGCACTGGGCTAAAAATTCAGTTTGAACGGCAAGTTCACAAGCTGTTCCTCAGAAACCCTACACAAGGCCGCAATGGGTTGGAACCTACTCAACAACACTTAACAACAACAACAACAATGTGATACCTAGAAAGGACAACTAATATATCTTTCTAGGTAAGTTCAAAAGTCAAGGCCAATTGTTCAAAATCTTTAATAAACTTAGTGGGATTGTCTAAAAGGCCCCCTAGCTTCTCCTTGTAACATTTAAAATCTTCCATAGAGAATGGTATATGGACCCTGACATGTTGCATGTGGACCCCTGAGACCTCTCACAAAGGTAAAAAAAAAAAACTACAAAGAAGTGAGTCTTCTGGAACTGATCACTAGGGCTCCAATTTTAGCAACTTTTGACAGTTGCTTCTTTAGTAGTTTCATTTCTATACAATGCTTTCATTTTTCTTTGTATTCTCTGAGGCCCATAGAGGCTTAAACATAGGGACTTCTGACTACTTTCCTTACCTTCAATAGAACAGGTCTAATTGTAAAAGAATGTTGTAATTCGGGTTTCTGTTTACTAGCTTTTGCTCTTGATCTCCCAGTGTATATTGAGGCCAAGCACTATTACAAGAAAAATATTAGCTTTTTGTTTTTTTTTTTGCTGATTGTCAAAATTAAGGCTCTTTCAATTCTTCAGTAAGCATTCTAAAGAAGAGTTATCAGGGATCAATTAATTCTATCTCTTGGCACATTAGATGAGAGAGTGGATCCCTTGACTGGGCGTCCCCTGTGTTACCATTTATGTTGTTGTTGTTAAGTACCGTGGAGTCGGTTCCGACTCATAGAGACCCTATACAGGGTTTCCGAGGCTGTAAATCTTTATGGAAGCAGATTGCTTCATCTTTCTCTGGCTGAACCGCTGGTAGTTTTGAGCTGCCGACCTTGAGGTTAGCAGCCTGACTGGTAACTACTATGCTACCAGAACTTCTTCTATAACTGGGTGAAAATGTCTAAACTCAAGGAGGGTCATAGTGTCCTCCCAAGCACTCTTCAGACAGAGGCAGTAGGTCTCAAGTTTTTCTGGGACCATGGCACAGAAACCTCTCTTAGGGATGAGTGCCAATATCTGGGTGTTTCAACGTTGGGTTCCGGTCAGGATTTGGGATTTTTTAAAATTCTACTTTTCTCACCTTTTTTTAAAAAAAGGAGTAAGGTCAGAAAGGATTGGTTAGCCAATATTCCTTTGTAGTACCTAATTCTGTTGGTAAGAATTTGCACATAGCGTTAGAAGAGATAGACTTAAGAGGAAGTCCAATCTCTGCTGAGTCTCATTTTGAACGTCTCCTCCACCTGAAAACATACACAGAGATATCACAAGAAATCCCCCACCAGCCGCTATTCGGAAACCCTAAACATCATTAATATGGGTTGGAACAGACTCAATGGTACTTAACAACAGCAACAACAAAACCAATCAGAGGCTGAGGCTGAGGGGGTCACAGCTGGACCCTGCCACACCATCCTTAGGCTTTAAAACAAAGACATTTTATCCCAACCTGGTGGGGATAAGGACTTTCTGTTTTTTTCTGAGCCCATTTATCCAGGAAGGAGTTGTAGTGAGTGACTGTGAGGAGAGGACTCCCATGGGGGAGCTGGGCCAGAACTGCAGCAGCTCAAGAATAAGCAAAAGGCCCAGGCTGGTCCTGAGCAATAGCTGCAGTGCATTCTCCTCCTGGCAGATGAGAATGGGTTTTTTGTCTCACTTCCCTGTTGACCTGGAGCACTGTGTTACCACTCAGACTGTTATCATAGGACTGACAGAAATAAATGGCCTCGTCCTCAGGCTGCAGCCCAGCGATGGTCAGGGAGGCAGAGTTGCCAGACTTGGAACCTGAGAATCGATCCGGAATCCCTGAAGGTCGTTTGCTATCATCATAGATGACGGGTTTGGGAGCTGTGTCTGGGAGCTGTTGGTACCAGTGCACATAGTAGTCAGCCCCGATGTTGGTGCTACTTCCGATACAGGAGATGCTGACCTGCTGGCCTGGATTCCCAGAGACAGAGGGTGTCTGACTCAGCACAGCCTGGGCCCAGGATCCTGGAAGTAGGGAAGACACAGAAATGATGACTCTTGAGGGTCTAGAGATGGGAAGACAAAGTAAAGTCCCATGTCTTTCCCCAGGGCCTTTCACCCGCCTCCAGTATAGTCACCTGTGCAGTGAGCAATGAGAGAGAGGAGGAGAGGGGTCCAGGCCATGATAGAGATTGTCTCAGAGTCCTGGAGCTGAGTTTCCTCATCCCCCGTTACCCATTTCATACTCTGGGGGAAAGGAGGGTCCATTCATGCAAATAAAATCACCCCAGGTTTCTGAACCCCACCCTGGCCTTGGGTCAAGCCCCTATGTCTGAAAATGGCCAAGGAGGTGGGGCAGGGGTGGGGCGATGTGGGTCCCAGCAGCTTGGGGGAGTCCACAATGTGTGCTGTGAGCCCTGAGCAGAGGGCAGCAAACCAGGCCAGGTGGCTGCTTCCCAGTCCTGATCACCACCAGTATCCCCAGCCCTCAGAAATAAGCCATGAGCACCCCCTGCTGTCCAGACTCTGACCCAGTTGTTGTGTGACATGAAGGCTAGAGTCCTCAGAGACAGTGCCTGCCTCCCAACTGTCCCTGCTGTACTGCCAGACACAGCAACCTCTCCATTCACTCAGGGAAATGTTTTCTCTACTGAGACTCTCAGGGGTGAATCTGTTCTATGACTCCCTTTACCGTTCACTGGGCTATGGTGGAGGTGCTTTCTGATAAGCATCAGACTATAGAAAAATGCATAACCTTCTCCAAAACAGTTTCCCAGTTTTCCAATGAGATAAGAGTAGTGTCTTAACTGTTTTCTTAAACTTTTTATTGTGAATTGATTGAAGGTTTGCAGAGTAGATTGTCAATTTTACATCCAACAAATCATATTCTTTGTTTTATGGCAATGGTAGCAATCCCCTCCATATACCATCAGTAAATAGTATTTTCCTTTATTCACTTTAGCTCTTGCATTCCTCCCTGTATATCCTACTATCTATGTCTTTCCTTTGTCCATCTCCCTCCTGTTGTATATTGTTATATCTGCCCTCTACTGGTGTGCAATTTCTCATCCCTATCCTATTTAATGTTTCTTTTATAAAGAAAAAAAATAACTTTTTTTACCACTGTGGTTTCATATAATATTTATCTTTTGTGATTGACAGATTTCACTCAGCATTATGTTCTCCGGGTTAATTCATGTTGTGAGGTGTTTTCAGATTCATAATTATTCTTCAATGCTGAATAGTCTTCCATTATGTATATATACCAAATGTTTAACAATTCTTCTGGTTTTTTGTTTTCCTTTTAAAAAAGTTTTTATTGTGATTTAAGTTATAGTTTACATGGACGAACATGTTTTTATTTTTTATTATTCATTGTAAATAATTTTTTTGTAAATTTTGTGTGTGAATTATGTGGTAGTTTACATGGGAGAGCATTAATTTTACATTCATCCTATCCTATATCGTTTCATTGCCATGGTTACAATCCCCTCCATGCATCATCAACCAACCAAAGGGTATATCCTGCAAACCTGCCCCCCACCCTGGTGGTTAGCATACAGCCCCTCTCCCTCTCTGGGTCTAAACGTCTCAGCTGCTCCATCTCTCCACGTCATCATTTCTGCCTCCATCTCTGGCATCACTGCTTCTCTGGGTAGGGTCTCACTCTCTGCTCTTCTCCCTTGATGGTCCCAGGGACCTCCACTACTCAACTGCAAAGTTAATCACTCCCCTCCTTGCTAAAAATGTCTACCTTTGCATTTCTAACCCTTATAATCAGTTCTGATAACAATTATTCACTATTGTATCACAAGAGACCTATCTGCATTTCTTTTCATCACCCCTGCCTAGATGGATTGGATACTACTCAGTGGAGATTCTACCTTCCTCCATGCCCTCTGGAT